GCGCGCCCCGCGCCCCCCCCCCCCCCCGCCGTGACGCCACGCCCCGGTTACGTCACCCCGGGGGCGGTATGACGTCACGAATCCGATATGACGCCCCCCAAATGGCGCGAGCGCGACCTTCCCGAGATGGCAGCTGCTCAAGGACCTTCCAAAAATGGCGGGAGCGCAGCGGCCTCCCCAAGAGGGCGGCAACAGAAAAAAACCTTCTCAAAATGGGGGAAACACAAACGACCACCCCGAGAATGCGGCACCTTCCCAAATTCCGACAGTTGAAACGGGGCGGGAATGAGGGAGGCCGTCCCCAAGGTGACGGAAACTGTAACGCCCGTTTTTAGTGTTTTTACACGGCTGAGGGAGCGACCTTCCCAACATGGCGTCACCACCCCGGTCCAAAGATGGCACCGCCCCACTTCCGGCCCTGGGGCCGCCTTGAAGCGGAAATGGCGCTGCGGGGCTGAGCCCGTCCCTTTCCGGCCCCTCACGCCGCCGCCGCCATGCCCGTGAGTGCGGCCCGACCCTGCCCGGGCGCCGCCGGCCCCGGGAGCGCCGCGGGACCGCGCCCGGCGGGGCCGGCGAGGGGCGGGAGGGCTTGGGGAGGGCGCAGGGGGGCGGCGGGGCCCGGGGCGATCGGGGCGCTGGGGCCGAGCAGCGGGAAGGGGGCGCCCCAAGATGGCGGCAGAGGCGTGAGGGGACGGAGGTGGGGGGACGGGAGCGATCGCGGTGTCTCCGGGACTGACCCATCGCCGTGTGCCCGCCGTGTCCCCGCAGCTCGCCAAGGACCTGTTGCACCCGTCTCCCGAGGAGGAGAAGCGCAAGCACAAGAAGAAGCGGCTGGTGCAGAGCCCCAACTCCTACTTCATGGACGTCAAGTGCCCCGGTGGGCACCGAGGGCCCTCCAGGGCCCCTCCCCGTGTCCCTTCGTGTCCCTTCGTGTGTCCCGCTCTTGTCCGCGCTCTCCCGCTGCCCTTCCCGGCGTCCCGGGGTCCCTCCACGTGTTTCCCCGTGTCCCACCGGGCTCTCCCTCCGTGTCCCCGCCGGTGGCCCGGGGTCCCCGTTCCTGTCCCGGGATCCCCGTTCCTGTCCCGGGATCCCCGTTCCTGTCCCGGGATCCCCGTTCCTGTCCCGCGATCCCCGTTCCTGGCCCGGGGTCCCCGTTCCTGTCCCGCGATCCCCGTTCCCGTCCCGGGATCCCCGTTCCCGTCCCGGTATCCCCGTTCCTCTCTCGGGGTGTCACGGTGCCGCTGCCCGTGTCCCCCCGGTGACTCCGCTGTCCCCGCAGGCTGCTACAAGATCACCACGGTGTTCAGCCATGCCCAGACCGTGGTGCTGTGCGTGGGCTGCTCCACGGTGCTGTGCCAGCCCACGGGGGGCAAGGCCCGGCTCACCGAGGGTGGGTGCCATGGAGGGCTGGGGGCTGCTCCCTGTGCAGCCGGGGAGGGGCTTCGGGGGATCTGGGACCCCGGGGTGGGATGTGGGGAGGTTGTGGGTTCCTCTGGAGGGGGCTGGAGGTTTCTCCTTGGGGCAGGGGGCTCATGGAGCCCGTGGTTTCCCCCTCAGGAGAGTTTTGGAATTCTGGTGGGTGGTGGGGGGTGTTGGAGTTGTGTCTGTTTTGGGAGCCCTCAGCAGCAAAATCCCCCAAAACCTGTGTTGGGAGACCTGGAATTCCCTTTCCCAGGTGGATCCAGAGACCCTGCAGCATTCCCAGGTTTTCTGTTTGTTCCCCGCAGGCTGCTCGTTCCGGCGGAAGCAGCACTGAGCGAGCCGGGATGCCACGGAGACGGGAATTCCGCCCAGTCCCTGTAGCCCCCTCCGCTTCCCACCAATAAATTTTGGATAAAATACCCAAAACGGGTCACTTCTGGTTCTTGGCTGCAGGGATAACGGGATTTGGGGATCTGGGGAAGGAATTCCTTCCCTGCAAAGGAAGGGGTTATCCAGGGAACTTGTGGCTGAGGGGAGGTGTCCCTGCTCCATCCCTTCCCAAACCTTCCCACCATTCCTGAGGAATGCGGGTGCAGGCGGTGCCAGCACCACCCTGGGGTGGGACAAGTCCTCCTGTCCCTTGTGGGGACCCTTGGGATGCTCCAGCTGGGCTCACTTGGGAATTCCACATGGATAAACCTTTTGTGTCCGCGGTTTAACGGGAATAACTGGGAATATCCGTGTCTCCCGCTTCCCACACTGCTCTGATCCCGGCGTGGATCCTCATCCCATCCACATTTTCCCATCTGAACGGGAATAACCGGGATGTTTTCCCAGGATTTGGCTCTGGTGGGAGCTCAGCTCTCCCCGTTCCCACCCGGAGCTCCCCAAATCCCCCCTGAGGCGTGACCCCCTCTCCAGCCGCTCCCGTGGGAGCCCCATCCCGGATTTTTGGGGTGCTGGAGCCCCTCCCTCCCTCCCTCCCTCCCCAGGTGGTTTCCGGAGGCTCCGGCCCTGCAGTGAGGTCGAGGTCGGGGTTTCGGTTCCTCATTTTCTCATTTCCTGGCTCGTGATTTCTCTGCACGGCACCGAGCGCCCCAAACCCGGAGCTCCGCGCTGGGAACGCTCTGGATCCAGCCCCGGATCCACCCCCAGCCCCACCTGGAGCTGCAGAACCCCGCAGCAGCTCCTGGAGGTAATTGGGGTGCGTTTGGTGTTTAATCACCCCCCAGGAGCACTTTGAGGAACTGGAACTCCGGGACAAGCGGATTTACGGGGATTTGGGGTCTGGCCTATCCCAGAGCTCCGCTGTGGGATTGTTGGGGGGCAGCGGGCGGATAAAACCAGGGAATTTGGGGATTTTTGGGCATGGATTGTGCCGGGAGCGTTCCCCAGGCCAGGGTGGCTCCGATGTGTCCCGGCCTGTCCACACGGACACGGGGCCGGCTCCCGGATTCTCCCCTCCGGGGAATTTTGGGATGCGTGTCCGGGCGGGCCGGTGGCACCAGCAGGTCACCGGGGTGTTGTCACCTCCCTGCCCAGACCGGATTCGTCACCGAGGGGTCAATCCCGGCTCCGAGCCCTCGGCTCCCGGCGCTCCCGCTGCGAATCCCGGGATGGAGCTGCTGGCTCCCGCCGCCCTCCTGGCCCTGCTGGCGCTGGCACTGGGACACCCCGACCCCGCGCTCCACCGGCACTGGGAGCTCTGGAAAAAAACCTACGGGAAGGAATATCAGCCCCAGGTGGGAACATCATGGGAATGTCACAGGGGGGAGCTGGGGGTGTCCCAGGGATCCCGGGGTGTCCTGGGAATACCCCAGGATTTCCTGGGGCTCTCCCGTGGGGTCACCACCAACCGGAAAAGATCCGGCGGCGCTTCCAAGCACGGCCGGTCCCCGGGGATGATCCAGCTGGGGCTCCCAGCAGCCTTTACTGGGATGAACTGGGGCGGGATGGCTCCGGAGGGGCCGTCCTGGCTCTCACAGGGCCCCTCTGGAATTCCAGGAGGATTCTGTCCGTCGCCTGACGTGGGAGAAGAACCTGTGGCTGGTGACGCTCCACAACCTTGAGCACTCCCTGGGGCTCCGCTCCTACACGCTGGCAATGAACCACCTGGGAGACATGGTGGGTGCGGGATTCCAGCCCTCGGGAATCCCCCCGAGGGCGGCTGAACCGGGATATCGCTGGCTCCGGGGTGGGAGAACTCCCGACATCCCCCCCAGCCCGTCCCGGCTGCTCCGGAGTTCTGGGAGGACGGAACCCCTTGGGGAGGCATTTGGGGCACACGGAGCTGTCCCGGTCATTTGGGGTATTTATGGCTCATCCCTGTCCTGTGTCCCAAAGTCTGGGGGGGTTTAACAGCCCAGCTTCCAGGGATTTGGGGAGCTGGAGCTGAGCTTTCCCTTTCCTGATGAAAATCTGGAAATCAGACAGAAAACCAAGGCACTGAGGGTCCCCCAAACCCGACTTTTCCACCTCAGAATTCCCCCTCTGCCCCCCACGGCCTCAGCTGGGATTCACAGAGAGCAGGAATCCCCTGCTGCATTTTCTTTTCCCCCACCAGACCAGCGAGGAGGTGGCGGCTTCGCTGACGGGGCTCCAGCTCCGTCCCCGTCCCCGCGGGAATTCTGCGCTCCAAGCCCGGTTCCGGCCGGCCCGGGACGTCCCGGAGGCGCTGGACTGGCGGGACAAGGGCTGCGTGACCGAGGTGAAGAACCAGGTGAGCCTCGCCCCGGGAGCCTCCCGCTGCTCCCCGGGCCGGCTCCCGAGCCTCTCCCGGCCTCTTCCCAGGGCGCCTGCGGATCCTGCTGGGCCTTCAGCGCCGTGGGAGCGCTGGAAGCGCAGGTGAAGCTGAAAACCGGGAATTTGGTGTCCCTGAGCGCCCAGAACCTGGTGGATTGCTCCGGGATGTACGGGAACAAGGGCTGCGCCGGCGGCTTCATGACAGAGGCGTTCCAGTACATCATCGACAACGGCGGCATCGAGTCCGAGGAGTCCTATCCCTACACGGCCCAGGTGGGACCGGGAGGCGCTTGGGAATCCTCTTTTCCAGGAAAACACCTGGAGACAGCTCCGTTCCTCTTTTCCTTCCTCCTCTCCCATCCAATCCCCCCTTTCCCCGCTTTCCTGGCGACACCTTTGCTCCGGATCCAAACCCACCCCAGGAGCTTTGGCATTATTTTATTGTTATTATTGTTATTATTTTTGGGAGTGACTGGACCAGGAGCTGGAATTCCTACCTGGTTATTTCACCATTTCTTAGGCAACAGGGAAAAATGGGTCAGGAGCTTCCTGAAAACACGATCCTGGGAAATGGGTCAGAGCAACAGCAGCTCCATCCAGGAAAAAGTGGGATTTAACCCTCCAAACGTGGAGCTGCAGAGGGAAAAGCTGCTGGTCCCGGGCTCCGGAGGGAATGGGAAGGGTCTGTGGATAGGGAGGATGAGGATGGAGGCTCCAGGGAAGGGGAGGATGAGTAGGGAGGCTCCAGGGAAGGGGAGGATGAGGATGGAGGCTTGTGCTGGATTTAGCTGGGATTGGGAAGGGGAACCAACCCCAGGATGGGGCTGGAGCGATGTTTTAGAGGGAAAATTCGTGGGAATCCTGAGGGAAACGAAAAGCTCGGGTCCGGACGTGGCTCTGGGAGCGCTGCCGGGTCCCGCCGGCTCATTCCCGTTTCCCGGCAGAACGGGACGTGCCGCTACAACGCCTCGGCCCGCGCCGCCTCCTGCTCCCGCTTCCTGGAGCTGCCCCAGGGCGACGAGGCCGCGCTCAGGGACGCCGTGGCCACCGTGGGCCCCGTGGCCGTGGCCATCGACGCCACCCGGCCCGGCTTCTTCCTGTACCGCTCCGGTGAGGGCTCGGGGGCACCGGGAGTCGGGAGGGATTGGGGAAGTCGGGGGTGAATTCCCGGGGGGAGGCCGGGATGGGGTGGAATTCCAGGTTTTCTCCTTCCGCAGGGGTGTTTGACGACCCGCAGTGCTCGCAGGAGGTGAACCACGGCGTGCTGGTGGTGGGATACGGCTCCCTGGAAAACAAGGAATATTGGCTGGTGAAGAACAGGTAAACCCCGGGAATCCGCGGGGAATCCTGGAAAATTCCCGCCTGGAAGGGACCCACAAGGATCAGAGTGCAACTCCCAGCCCTGGACAGCCCCAGACTCCCCCCTTGTCCCTCAGGGCCTTCTCCAGGTGTTCTTGGCCCATGGAAGGGCTGGAATGATGATCCATAAAGTCCTTTCCAACCCACTCCGCTCCATAATTCCACGAGTTTCTGCTCGGAGCTGCCCAAATCCCTGCGGATTTGGCACTTGGGGCAGCGGGAATTCCTGATTTCCGAGGGGTTTTCCGTGGATCCCCGGATCCCCGTGCCTGCAGGAACCAGGGCTGAGCTTTCCCCGTGTGTTTCCACTGTTCCCAAAGCTGGGGCGTGCAGTTCGGAGACGCGGGGTACATCCGGATGGCCCGGAACGCCTCCAACCTCTGCGGCATCGCCACCTACGCCTCCTACCCGCTCATCTAGCCTGCCCCAGGCTCCGGAATTCCAGGGATTCCAGCCCAGCAGGGATCCTTCCGCTCCCAGGGTCCCTTCCCAGCGCCGTGGGCACCGTCCGGCGCTGGATCCGTGGGCTGGGAGGGGATGCCGGGAAGCGGGAATGTCATTGGGCATCCAGGGAATTCTTTTTTGGGGGGGAAATTGGGGGTTTGGGAGTAAAACTGCGATTCCTGCAGGGATTGGCTGCAGGGATAACAGGGATTGGGTGCTGGGATCATTGGGATCACAGGGACCATTTGGCTCTGGTACCAGGATCACAGGGATCAGGTACCGGCATAATTGGGAACACGGAGATCATTTGGATCAGGTACTGGGGTCACAGGGATCATTGGAATCATTGGGATCGGATACTGGGATCACAGGGATCGGGTACTGGGATCACAGGGATCGCTGGGATCAGGTACTGGGATCCCTCCTCCGGAGCTGCGGCAGTGCCGGACGTGGATTTCTTCCCGTGTGGCGCTGCTGGAATTGCAAACATTCCATGGGAAATAAAAGATTGCGTTTTGCTGCCTCAAAATTCCGGTGTTTGGAGATAATCCCCAAAAATCCAACATTTGGTCTCTCCGTGGGGGCTCCGGCCACCCAGCAGCCAAGAATTCCGTGTTGGTGGATGGACATCCCGAGGGAACAGCGTCCCTTTGTCCCGAGCAATGTCCCCAGATGGATCCTGCAGCCTCGGGATGGTGCTGAGCACCCTCGGGATGGTGCGGAGCACCCTCGGGATGGTGCGGAGCACCCTCGGGATGGTGCGGAGCACCCTCGGGATGGTGCGGAGCACCCTCGGGATGGTGCGGAGCACCCTCGGGATGGTGCGGAGCACCCTCGGGATGGTGCGGAGCACCCTCGGGATGGTGCGGAGCACCCTCGGGATGGTGCGGAGCACCCTCGGGATGGTGCGGAGCACCCTCGGGATGGTGCGGAGCACCCTCGGGATGGTGCGGAGCACCCTCGGGATGGTGCGGAGCACCCTCGGGATGGTGCGGAGCACCCTCGGGATGGTGCGGAGCACCCTCGGGATGGTGCGGAGCACCCTCGGGATGGTGCGGAGCAACCTCGGGATGCCATCCCGAGCACCATCCCGAGGGTGCTCAGCACCA